TTTCAGTATTACACATGATAAAAAAAAAATCAAGGTAGAAGCAATATACACTTAGCAAGGAGGGTGAGGAAACATGAGGCATGAAGCATCTGTTAGTCTGTCAAATCAAGTGACGAATACAACATCTAAAAAAAAAAAGCTTTTGTGAGATGAGTGTGAAAACCTTGAAAATAAAAAGAGCCTAGAAATTGAAACAAGTTCCATATCTGCAGGTAATAGCACAGAGGGCTTGTGAGACCTCCATCTATTTTATTGCATATTTTTGCTACACCATTATTAAGGTGAATTATCAGTTATGCATAAGTAACTGGTATTTCCTCTTACAATTTTGTTTTAAAAATAACTATTCTAAAATCTTATCCAGCTCTTACGCCATCATTAATTCTCAGGATAAAGCTTAATAAAATATTCTGAGCCAGATTCATAGGCAATATCAACATGATTCAGATTTGCTTCTTACATATTATTTTTGTTGGAGGCTCTTCTTTTGGATTGAACGAAGAAATACTTATTGAAATGCAGACTCCTTGGCCCCATAACAGACTTGTTGCATCAGCAGTTCTGGAATGGGGTCTGAAACCTGGATTCTTAAGAATCTTGCCAAGTGAGTCTTGTAGTCATGCAGGGGTGGGAACACGTGCACTATGCAGACCACTTTTGATAGTAACTGAATTATGAAAAAAATACGGTAGTGTTTAGCAGCAGGGATGTTTATTTTAATGTCTTTGTGTTTTGTTGGAAATATGACTGGGGGGTAGGAATGTGTAAGAAGAACTGTGGTAGTGAGAAAAGACCAGCCATTGCTCTTGAGCAAATGAGAGAAACTTTTAAAGTTTGGGTGACATAGGGATGTTTAGCTTCCGGATGCGATGTTTAGTTTTTACAGCTTTTATGGTTATAAAAGCATTTTTTAATTTAAATATTGCAGGAAAAATAACTTTTTTTCCCCTGGTCTGAAGTTCCCTTGCCCTTAATTTTTTTCACTAGTTTTATTAGAAAATAAATATAATAAAACTGTTATATTAATATTTTGATTTTGTTTTGAGTTCTCTTAGGAACTCTTACATTATAGCAGAGAAGGCTGCATGCTACTTTAATACTCACACACCTATGAGATACTCATTATTATTCTCATTTCATAGATAAATGAACAGAGCCTCAAAGAGGTTAATTAACTTGACCGAACTCACACAGCAAATAAGTGGTAACGCCAACACTGATTTCAGGCTGCCTGGCTCCAAATCCAAGGAACTTTCTGTAATATCATGCTACTCACTTCAAAGAGTATACTTGTTGTTCTTCTTTAAAATGGACATTCTTGTCTTCTGTGCCCCATAAGCAATGTAAAAATCCACAAATTGTATTCTTTAAAATCAGTTTGGTCAGATGGTTTGATGGTAGTACTCTTTTAAATAGAAATTCTAAGAACGAGTTTACAAAGGACCACTGTAGTGTGTGTGTGTGTGTGTGTGTGTGTGTGTGTGTTCTGTGCTGCAAAGTGAATGAGGAGTGGCTATGCTATGAGCAGTATTTGTCTAAATGGGCAAATAATATTCCGTTCTGTCACCATATACTCTTTCCATCATGATGTTTTCATATCCTTTATTGCAACTTTCCAAATGGAAATTGCATGATGTCTGGCTAGTTGTACAAGCATGCCTTTTCCATTTTAAAAGCATATGCGGAATTCTGCAAGAAATCAACCACAGACTACTAAAATTTTCTCAGATTTGAGCCTTCTGCACTATTCCAATTAAAGTGGATCTTTCTCTCCACCATGGGAATTACACTGTATGACTGATTACCAAGCACATCATGTAAACAGCTCTTAGAAACTGCAAACAGCCATTATGGAGAATGCAACTTATTAACAAAGGTCATATTAGAATTTCACCCTGGTAACTAATGGCGTCAAAGGTACAGTACATCAATAGGCACATAGACTAGGAAGCAGTGTTTTCCAATTAAGTGAATCAGTTTCACCTTCTGAACTATAAATAAACTGCAGCAACAGCTCCTGATTAGGCTTAAGGAGTCTGACTTCCATGGCAAACAAATGCCTCAGAACTTAAGCATACTTAGGAAGTTAATCCTGTAAGGAGTCAATGAACAGATTTAAAGTTTCAGCATTAATGCCTTGGACCTGAGTTTCCTCAAATTTCTGCAGTGCAGGCAGAATGGGGATGTATCCCTCTGAATAGATAAACAAGCCCTGAATTAGTTTTCAGCCTCCCTCAGGATAACTAATTTAACAGACATAAACCCATTTTCAAAAACAGAATAAAAATATTTGCTTCCCTAAGTATTTTACTTAGCAAATAAAAGATTTGCTTTCCCAAGTAATAGCTTGGTTGGGCTCCTGCCCCTACAGGAATAAGTGCAATTAACTCTACTCAGTGGAAATTTTAACAAGTATGTTAAAAAACAGATTTTGACCCTTGTTTATTTTTATTTGATGTCTGTCTTTAGAACTAATTCAAAACCCATTCATTCAGTTTAGATCTGAATTTAAAATGTAATCCACTTCTTTAATTTAAAAGCATTGTACTTAGTAGTTATATAGGGCTGACAGTGCTGACCCATCTTCAAGGGAGGGTACACTTGAGCTGTTTTTCTAATGTTAGTACTGGATTTCTATAACCTTTGTAGGTCTCAGTTTTCTCATCTATTAAATGAAAGCCTTGGACTAAATAAGATTTAAGCCTTTTGTAGCTAAAATTTCTATGTATGTATGTACATACATAGCTAACAAAAGTTCAGACATTATTTAACCAGCCCGGATAGAAATGATTAGTTTTCAGTATCTACAGTATTCACTGTAATTTTTGTTATAATGTATGGGAGAGAGATGATAAATACATAAGAATGTAAATTTCTGCAAATTCAAAGAAATAATGGTTAGTATATTTTCCTATTAGGAAGATAAGAGATTTATTAATTAGAAATACAAGCCCACTTTACATAAAAATCATTTTAGGATTTTTATATAAAACATTCAATTTCTGAAAACAGCTTTGAATAGCTATGTGTTCTCTTTAAATTTGCATAGAAAGTCCTAGCCTAGGGCTGTGACTGATGATAGGAGATAATAGGAACTGGGTTTTTTCATACCATTTCCTCTTTTACAGAAACACTGGAGACAACAAACTGAACTTAGAAATCTCCGATATCAAATCCCATTATTTAAATTTATAATCTCTTTACCTACTGGGTTTAACAATTCCAGCAATTCCAAGGCAGGGATAGAGGAGGGGAGAAACATTTCCTTTTATTTTTTTTTAACTTTTTATTTTATAATGGAGTATAGCTGATTAACAATGTTGTGATAGTTTCAGGTACATGGCAAAGCAGAAACATTTCCTTGAACTAAGGTTCAAGAGTATTTATTTCAAGTGTTGAGAAAGGTTAATGTGAGGTTGATTGATCATACAGTAGGTGGTTTTGGGGACAGACAAAATTGACCTGCATCACATGAAGTTGCAGATTGAATGTTTTATTTGACATAGAATGGTCCCCGACTTGGTAACAGTTTGACTTAACGACTTTACAGTGATGGGAAAGTGATACATTCAGTAGAAACAGTACTTAGAATTTTGATTGTTTGTCTTTTCTGTGGGCTAGAGATACTCAGTATGATACTCTCTCATGAAGCTGCGCAGTGGCAGCAAGCTTCAGCTCCCAGTCAGCCGCACGATCATGAGGGTAAACAACCAGTATGCTTACACCCATTCTGTACCCACACAACCATTCTGTTTTACACTTTCAGTACTGTATTCAATAAAGTAGATGAGGTATTCAACACTTCATTATAGAATAGGCTTTGTGTTAGGTGATTTTGTCCAAATGTAGGCTAATGTAAGTGTTCTAAGCATGTTTAAGGTATGCTATGCTGCTCACCTATGATGTTCAGTAGTTTAGGTGTATTAAATGCATTTTTGACTTACTTACGATGGGTTTATTGGGACATAACCCCATCCTGAACTGAGGAAGATCTGTAGAGCAATGGTTGGAAAATGAACTCATCATCTAAATATTCTAGGGTAAAATCTTGGCTTTTGATAAGGTTTTTCCTTAAAGTTTTGTACACATGAATGCAGAATTACTTACCATGACATGCTTTGATGTGTGAAGTGAGATTATAAGGTGGGAAATGTTTCTTCATTTTGCCCTCTGTCTGTGTACCTTTTTTGTGTCCTTAAGCACTCTTGTCCTCTAGATACCACTTTTTTTCCATCTCAAAGAAAGACATCTGACAGGTAGATTTACACGAAGCTCTTGTGACTTAATATATCATTCCTTCCAGAAGATTTAATATACTTAATTTAATATTTAATGTATTTAAAAGAGGATTAGAGGATTAACTCAGGTGACTGAATCTCTACTAATAATATGCTACCTGGATCCAGGAGATATTTCTAATCAAAAGGATCTTCTGGATGCTCTTCTTATTCTATAACACAGGCAGGTAGCTATTATTCTTTCTTTTCGCAAAGCTGTGAGAAGATGCTGAGATAGTGTAAGCTCATCAGGGTTAGCATTTTTGTTCACTTCAATTACTATTTTTCCCTAGCACTTAAACAAGTGTCTGACACAGAGTAGGCAGTTAACACATATATATTAATTTATGAGTCCTTACTATCGCTTACTATCAAAATTCAGGTATGTCAACTCAGGGCCAGTAGGGACTGTAGCCATCTGTCTGTGAAGCTTAGTATATTGGGAAGCCCAGTTATAAGTGGAAACTGGATGAAGAACGATAATGGGCAAGTGTGGTAGAGACTGCCATGGACGTACCAAAATAATTTTCTCTTCTTCCTGAGCAGATAGCTAGACTACATTTCCCAGCCTCCCTTGCATTTAGATGTGGTGGCCATGTGACTTAAGTTTTAGCCACCAGAATGTGGGCAGAAGTGATTTGAAATATTGCCAGTCCTAGTTCTTCAAAACCTCCTTTATGATTCTTTATACTTCCTCTTCCCCCATTTGCCATCTGGAAAAGGATCCTACAGAACACTTCAAACCCTAGGGGAAACTGGAAGGAGACTGGACGCTGAAATGATAATGTGGAAATCACCCTGACTGAACAGGAACATCTGTGTTGGATTTCGTGTAAGTGAAAGATAAACTTTTTTACTAAGCCATTATGGCTTTTAATTTAGAGGAGAATGGAGGACCATTCAGAAAAGGAGTGGTGAAGCAAGATAGGGCAACAGGTAGGAGCAAGTCCGGAGGGATAGAAATGTGGTTGAAACATTAGTCTAGGGTATGAGAAGTAGGCAAGTATGGGGGGGTATGAGAAGTAGGCAAGTGGGTAATGTGGGGTCAGAGTCTGATGCTAGGGAATGAATGACAAGAAATGGAGTTACTGGCTGAAAGCTAGTGATATTAGTTAGCCTTAATATTTTGGGCCAGAGTCTTCCTTTGAAGTTAATAGTTATTACATAAGCTCAGCCCCAGCTGTTCATGAGTGTTCATCATTCTACCACATAAAACTTAAGATCTCATGGCCTTATTGCCTAACAAGTCTTCTCTTAACCAGCTAAAAGCTTCTCCAAAGACCTTGTTTAGAGGTAACACTGAAGTAATTTTCCTTTTATCCATTAAAGTTTTAATTAACAGTTACTTTGTCCTTGAACCTTTCATATTTAGTGAGAATTTATTTCCACTAAGCCATTAATGTCTTAAAGTCTCCACCTGTTGTGCTTAATTTGTCTGATTTATGTATTTATGGAGAAAAGCAGTGTAATCATTTTTGATTCTTCTGCCAACATACTTCAGTGACATTTTTTTGGCCATTTTTAAAAAGTTTCTTTACTTAGATTTTAATCTCCATAAGTGCATGTCAAGCTCAACCATCTCCTTAGGGAGGCTTTCCCTAATACTCCACCCCTCAGACTTAGTTGTTGACCCCACTTATGTGTTTAAAAAACAACAACAACAAAAAACACCCAGCTTTGTCTTCCCTAATCATAGGAATTCTACCCTGATACAACTGTACCTAAGCTTATATGTCTCCCCATGCTAAACTGTGAGCTCAAGGACGTATTATGTCTTATGTCTACACTTTCGATGCCCCAGAAAGTATTACTGAAGAAATAATCAATGAACTAACTAAATATTGCTATTGTATTATATTATTTTAGTGCTTAAAGCTAGTGCTGTATAAAATTTCAAGAATATAATAAATGCCATTTTTGTGATAATGATAAATGAAAAAAAAGCCTTAAAATTTTTTATCAAGGTATAATATATATAAAGCATATACAGTGTGCTAATCTTAATTGTACAACTCAACTAATTTTTCATATATATATTCATGCATTAGCCTCTACCTGTTTCCCACACCCCAGGAGTTTCCCTTCTGCATCTTCCCAGACAACACCAGTCCTTTCCTCGTCCTGAGATAAACACTATTCTTCTATCAATTATTTTCATACTTAAAAAAAAACTATACTACAGTCAGTACCAAATATTGTTGTTGGTGAAATAAATTACTGTGAAGTAGCAATAATGTGAAGACCTGACCTACAATACAGACTACTGCTCAATTCCCAAATAATCCCTTGGGGCATTTGATATAAGATAAAAATTTAAAATTAAAAAACTCAATGCCAAACAGGATAATTTCAAAGAAACACACACCCAAACTACCGAAAAACAAGGATAAAGATAACAAAGATAAAGGTTCATTCTATATGCATGCATACACCACTTATTATCTATTGCTATGGTAATCCCGAAAGATTGTCAATGACTGAAAGCTAAAGGAACATAAAAATGTGCTTATAGGAAGAAAAAGTAAAGTATTAGTAAGGTATATTTTATGAGAATGGGGCAGTGGTGACACAAATCTTTGAAAACCAAAATTTGATCCTTATACCCTAAGTGCTATGTTTCTCAACAGAAAGATGAAAGAAAGAAAGGGAAAATAGAATATCATGAAATACAAAGTCCACTTGGTGTTTAATTTTTTTTTTTTTTTTTAATGTTGGAACCTTCAGCAATATTAGGTTAAAAGTTCATTGCTCTTTACAGTGTGGAATGGACTTCAGTTTGTCACAGTGCTAGACAAATGCTTTGAAGAAGAGGAAGTCATAGGTAAGTTTGTCCCATGTAACTAGTTATTTTGGGAGGTAGTGAGGGAGTGTCTGTCTGCACTTGAAGATGAAAAAGGGACATGAACTGTGAGAGGCTTTCCCATCAGGGCAAAGGCAAGTATACAGACTGCTCCTTTGTGTTTTGGTGGGTAGTTTCAGCTTTGTCATAGGTTTTTATTTTTTTTTCTTTAGGGTATTAGAATTCTATAAAGTTGAATTTTCTGGTACTGAATGGCAGGTTCCCCGAAATAGGAGAGGAAATTGTTCTAGCTAACTCTGCCTCTGAGGCAAATGTTTACTGAAGAACAGCCATTCATTAATCTTGGAACAATAAAGCTCTTTTCCTGTCCTGTCTCCTGTTAATAATGCATGACTGAAAGTTATGTTCTAACTGTAAATCAGGACAAACAAAACATACCACAAAGTTATTTTCCTCTCAAGTCCAATAGCTTGATATGTGTGTTGTTTTAATATTCCCACTTGGGGCTGTACATCTAATGTTATCTTTGAAAATGTGCTAACAAGCCTGAAAGTATTGGGGCTTTTTATCACATTTTTATTACAATGGAGGATTTTGAAAAATGAAATCTGATGCTTCTTACTCAGAATGTAATGTGAAAGCAAATTAGGAAATGAGAACATGGCATAGAATTTATGCCACATGGTAGAATTGTCTTAATTCATTATCTTGCCAGAAGTACATTTTTTCTTTCATTTATGACATAGCTATTTTTATGTTGCTAACATTTTTAATAAGAATGCTGTTCAGTGTTCTTTTTTTTTTTCTTCAGAAGATCTTTTATAGTTAAACTGATCTCTAGGAAGGGGGCTTGGATGACCCAATAGTAATGTGTTAAGGCCACTGGCATTGTCTTTAAAAATGTGACAGACTATTAGGAATAATATTGAGGTGAAGTTTTAAAATTCTAGAGAAGATATTTTGGAACTCTGGGGAGAGTTGTTGAGTTGGAAATTAACTCATCATTCAGATACATAGTAGTCTGGTTCAAAGGAAATGGACTTCTTTACAAATACCAGTAATGCTGACAATTATGAGTTATAAATTCATAAATTTACCATAACAAGAAATGTGAGGCCACATTGAATAGTCTAGGAGAGTCCAGTTTAACTACTAAATGCCTTTGTAAAGTGGATAATTTACTGAATTCCATTGGGACCTATTTCTACATAGTAAAATGCAAAGATCGAATTAGACCTGTGTTATAAAATATATAATTCAAGGATCCATTAGGCTTCATAGACTGATATCTGGGAACTTGGTGGGGAGAAAACTTGTGTGGTATTAGGATCTAAATTGAATATCCAACTGCCATAAGTGGAATTAATATAGCTTGTTGTGTGGATCTCATGCCTTCAAAAATTTTTAGGAAAAAAAAAGAAAAAGACTTATGATAAATCTATTGGTTTTCTCCTTACCTTAGGAAACAGACATTCATCATAAAGCTACAGATAGTGCACCTTAGTTCAAGTGAGGATGAATCAGATTGTATATCCTAAGCCTAGTTGTCATCAGAGATGATGTCAGAAAAGAAAGAACTATGGGCAATATCTGTGATAGTTTGCCTTGGTGAGGGATCTTCTCTGTATCCTAATAGGGGAAACTTTTAGCGGTAACAGAGGCCTATACTGTGGCCCCTGTGTGTATGGATATTTCAGGAGCTTCTGGTCAATCATCTGGGCAGTACTGGAAATATCTGGAGCAATAATCTGGGCAGAAAAGCAGCAATAGAAGCAGGCATTCAATCTGCCAAAAGTAAAAAGGGATGCAAACTCCAGTTATGCTGGTTTAAACAGGCACTTCCAGTAACAATGGGGATGGTAACATCTCTGGCAATCAGCTGTTCGTTATTTTACAAGAACTTTCCCAAAGATGGAAGTAAAGTGTTTTATTTTTGCACAATTCATATATTAATATGTCATTCTCCTTTGACTTATGAAAGAGGAATGAGTTTGATAACTGAAAGAGCTCACTGATCTAACAGAATTTAAAATTAGCTGTTTCTACATGACAGTCTTATTTTTTATTTCTTTGAAATTGAAAGGAAAAAGATTCTCCATTGTAAGTGGATTAGTTAAGTTGATATTTAATATTCTCCTTTACATCGTCTTGCCATATGTTTATAGGACAAAGATCATACTGCTGAGTTCACAATATAAATTACAGGTATCTTCGTTATTACATGAACCACTATGTAATAACTAATTATCACTTGTTGTGGTAGTTAATTTTATGTGTCAGTCTGACTGGATCATGGGATGCCAGATATACGGTTAAACATTATTTCTGGGTATGTTGTCTGTGCAGGTGTTTCCAGAAGAGGTTAGCATTTGGATCAGTGGACTGAGTAAAGGGAAATGACCTTCCCAATGGAGATGGGCTTCATCCAGTGGGTTGAGGGCCTGAATAGAACAAAAAGGTGGAGGAAAGGAGGTCTTTCTTGTTCTAGCTCTCTTTTTCTTTCTTTTATTCTCTACCTGACTACTGAGCTGGGGCACTGATCTTCTCCTGCCCTTGGCTTTCCTTGTTCTCAGGCCTTCACGCTTGGACTGAAATCTACACCATTGGCTCTCTAGCTCTCAGGCTTTCTAACTACACCATTGGCCTTTCTGGGTCTCCAGCTTGGAGACTGCAGATCATGGGACTTCTCAGCCTCCATCATTGTATGAGCCAATACCTTATAGTAAGTTTCTTTATATATATTCTTTGCTTCTGTTTCTTTGGAGAACCCTGACTAATACACTTAAATCACAAAGTAGACATTGCATAGATATAAATTATCATAACTATAAGTACTTATAAATTATCAGGTAGTTGGCCAGTTGTTTTTGAGCAAATGTTCTATTGTTGGAAATTTTGTCAGTACAAAAATTATCTACTGTAAAAATTTTATGGGTTTATTATGTTCATATTTTTTCAAATTGTTACATATTTTTAAATAACTTCTAAGTTATTATATGGTGTTTTTCTCATATGTCGGGATAAAAATATAGGTTTTAGAAAACAAAATGGAAAGCCATCAGAGAAGTAAACAAAAGAAAATATTTTGTATTATTTAGATACATTTTTGGAGAAAATAGATGTAATGCTATAAAAAGGAGATTTCAGAGCTATCCACCTCAGTGTAATGTAGCACTAATGTGTCACTGATGAAGAAGGATGCGAATTTAGCTTCTAGCTACATGTCAACCAGAAATGGTAAATTTCAAGAAAAACTAGGATAAAATGTACATGAAGATTCATTAAACCAAATATATTTTCTGGAGATCTGGATACTTGATGTAACATGAATATTAAACAATGGAAAATTTAAAAATTACCAAATGACAGAACAGACTTTAGAAGCATTAATGGGTTCTTCCAAATTGCTAAAAATATACTAGATCCTTGTTACTTTATTACAAACCAAAGGATTTTATATGTGTTTTTCTATTTTGCAAATTAGATGGGGATGTAAAATGTTCAACTGAAGAATGAGAAGGGGCAAAACATAGACAACATTCATGACAACATCTTGACGAAGATGAAAAGAGTGAAAATAGCATTGTGTTCAAATTTGAAATCCGATAAACTATTGAAGCTTTCTAAACAGAGTAGAAGTAAACATAAGAATACTGGCAAGATTTTGTTGAGCAAATTATATACAAAATTTAGTTTTTGCCAAGGCAATGACCAGTGTTCAGAGGATAATCCAAGAAGCTCTATGATATTTATATCATGGGATTTTCTTCTACTGCAGAAAAATATATCAAAATGAACATTTTAAGTTTTCTTTTAAATTCAACAAAAGACATATTCATAGAACAATCATACATATTCTTGGAAGAGTACTTAAAGAAAAAAAGAGCAACTAAAATCTAGATATACAAACATAATTTGAGGTGTAAGGGATACAATAATATCGCACATATGCTTGGAAAAGAGAATGGGTAGAAGTTACTCAAAATAGTTAAAGATATTTTACACGTCTGTGCATTGTCTAAATTTGTGGTAAATAGTAAGGTATTGGGTGGGCCAAAAGTTTCGTTCGGTTTTTTCCATAAGGTGGCTCTAGTAGCACTTAGTTGTCTTTAACTTCATTCAGTTTTTAGATTGTATATGAAAGCTGTCATATCAGCGTGCATTTTGAAAAAGACATCAAAATTGGTGAATTTTTGTGTAGCCATTTTAATATTGAAGATGGAAGAAAAAAAGCAACATTTTCGGTGTATTATGCTTTATTATTTCAAGAAAGGTAAAAACGCAACTGAAACGCAAAAAAAGATTTGTGCAGTGTATGGAGAAGGTGCTGTGACTGATCGAAGATGTCAAAAGTGTTTGCAAAGTTTCGTGCTGGAGATTTCTCGTTGGATGATGCTCCACGGTCGGGTAGACAAGTTGAAGTTGATAGCAATCAAATCGAGACATTAATTGAGAACAATCAACGTTATACCACGCGGGAGATAGCCGACATACTCAAAATATCCAAATCACCAAATCAAGCGTTGAAAATTATTTGCCCCAGCTTGGTTATGTTAATTGCTTTGATGTTTGGGTTCCACGTAAGTTAAGAGAAATAAACCTTCTTGACTGTATTTCTGCACGTGATTCTCTGCTTAAACATAATGAAAATGTTCCGTTTTTAAAACAAATTGTGATGGGTGATGAAAAGTGGATACTGTACTATAATGTTGAACAGAAGAAATCATGGGGCAAGGGAAATGAACCACCACCAGCCACACCAAACGCTGGTCTTCATCCAAAGAAGGTGATGCTGTGTATGTGGTGGGATTTCAAGGGAGTCCTCTGTTATGAGCTCCTTCTGGAAAACCAAACGATTAATGCCAATAAGTACTGCTCCCAGTTAGACCAGCTGAAAACAGCACTCGATGAAAAGCATCCAGAATTAGTCGATAGAAGACGCATAATCGGGCTTCCCTGGTGGCGCAGTGGTTGAGAGTCCACCTGCCGATGCAGTGGGCATGGGTTCGTGCCCCGGTCCGGGAGGATCCCACATGCCGCGGAGCGGCTGGGCCCGTGAGCCACGGCCGCTAAGCCTGCGCGTCCGGAGCCTGTGCTCCACAACGGCAGAGGCCACAACAGTGAGAGGCCCGCGGACCGCAAAAAAAACAAACAAACAAAAAAAAGAAAACGCATAATCTTCCCTCAGGACAACACAAGACCGCATGTTTCTTTGATGACCAGGCAAAAACTGTTACAGTTTGGCTGGGAAGTTCTGATTCATCTGCCATATTCACCAGACATTGCACCTTCGGATTTCCATTTATTTAGGTCTTTACAAAATTCTCTTAATGGAAAAAATTTCAATTCCCTGGAAGACTATAAAAGGCACCTGGAACAGTTCTTTGCTCAAAAAGACAAAAAGTTTTGGGAAGATGGAATTATGAAGTTGCCTGAAAAATGGCAGAAGGTAGTGGAACAAAAGGGTGACTACGTTGTTCAATAAAGCTCATGGTGAAAATGAAAAATGTGTCTTTTATTTTTATTTAAAAACCTAAGGCACTTTTTGGCCAACCCAATAAAAATCTATATTAATTCCTATACATTTAAAATGCTTTTCAGTGTGAACTAATATTGAAGTATACTAAAAGTATATTTACCTGCATAAGTTTGCCACCATTGTCAAAACAGCAATGAGAAAGTCGAATTGATGCCTTTGTGCCATAGAATACTCGTTAGTGGATACTCTTCTAATGCTCTTTTAGAAATTGTTGATGTATTTATAAAGATCTAAATCCTGTAATGAAAAACAAAGATATATTTTAAAAGTATACTTTAAAAATTTGTTTGGTCTGCACTAATGATATTTTAAGCAAACTTAATGTTATAGGCAAAATGATGCATAAACAAAAATCAGTGTATAACAGTCCCTGAAATCATTGAAAAGATTATGAAATTCTTTGCAGAAAACAAATTGTTGACATTTATGAAAAATATTATTGATGCCAAATAAATTACACACTACCATTACTGACACCAGTTTCTCCAATTCAAGAAAAAGGATAAAGAAGACTCATTTTGAGTATGAACCTCATAATCAGCACATCTGTGATTCAAATATAATCTGAAAATCAATTTTTCCATGTCAAATGCAGTTTCTTCCTTATGAAAGGCTTACTTTGTTGAAAGAATTAGATTTTATATGTTTAAAGTAGCATATATATTTACCAATAAAATTAACTGGTGAACATAGTAAGAAATGTGCTATTGATGATACCTCTATTCTTGAAGAACTAAAATGCTTAAATTTTATAAAACCTAGTACAGCTTTCATTATCATCTTGTGATACATTTGGACACAAATTTGCTGGACATCTTTTAAAATACCTTTATAGCCCTTTTTCTATATTACCTTTGCCAGCAAAGGAAGAAGTTCCTCATAAAATATATTACAAATGACTTAAGATCCACCCTGTCACATTAATCAAATTTATTTTTTGATAGAAAACAAATATTGGAGCAAGTATGCATGGAAATTATAATAAACACTTTCATTTCCATGAAAGCAAGGAGTGTAACTCTTTCACAACAAATTATTATATCCTAGTGAACTTAACGTTTAAATAACTGTAATTAAAAATTCAAATTTGTTACATTATTTTCAAATTTTGATCTATAGTAGTTGTACAGAATGACTTTGTTTTTTTGTCACTGTTATTATTAAAAATGAAAAAAAATACTTTCACTTCTTTCTTTGAGTTGAGGATGGTATGATTCTTTTCTAATTTGCCTAAAGACAGTCTGCTCCAAATACTCCCTTTTACATTTCAAGAGCCGTGTCTGGGGGTCTCAAATCATAGAATTTTATTTTAAGTCATAGTTAGGATTTAAGATATGATGGAAGGAAAGTTTCCACCAGACAAAGAGGTGAAGGAGAAAGTGCTCTGCTTTTGTAAATGGGGCCAGAGGAAGGGTGACTATGATGAGAATTTTGCCAAAGACCACCATGGAAATAAGGAGAAAACAGAGTTTCTTTGAAGAAGCAGGAATATCTACATGGATAGGATATTAGATTTTTTAAATTTACTGAGTATTTCCCAAACAGCAACAGCAAAACAACAACAAGCATCCAATAACCACTGTTTTAAAACTGAGATAGACTAAGATAGTTTTGGTGCGGAGTTGAAAGTCTCTTCACACTGCTTCCCCTCTTCCCACTATTGAGTGGGAATGAGGAATCTGTAGTAGAGATTAGATCTGTTTCTGGTAAAAACATAAACAACATATTTCAGCCATCTAAACTGTAGAGTGTAACTTTAAACTCATGCTACATTAACATTTATTTAACGTTTATTATGCTTTAAAAACGCTCTAAGTCTTTTATATCTGTTCAGTTATTGTTCATAAAAACTTATGAAGTAAGTTTAAAGAGATTAAGCAAGTGCCCCAATCATAGAAAATTACTTGCTCCACCAAAAATGTGTGCTCTTTGCACTTTATATTACCTCTTGATAACAAAAGTTTATTTTATAATTATTTCTGGAGAAAGAAAAGCAGATGGCAGTGGGGGGTGGTGCTGAAAGAGAAGTAAGCCCAGGCAGAGGGAGGGAGGGAGGGTGGGAAGGAAGGAAAGAGCGAAGGAAGAGAGGGAGGGAGGAAGGAGGGGAGGGAGGAAGGGTAGAAGGGAGGGAGAGAGGAAGGTGAGAGGGAAGGAAGGAATTGAGCCCACTCCTTGGGTTTAGAGGTATAAATATACATGAGAAAGATGTGAAGAGATTATAACTGCTCAAATTGTTGTCCTCTCACTTAAAGCAAATACCTGGAAAGGAAGAAAAAGGAGAAAACACCTCCAAAGGATGAAGAAATTATAAGGGAATGATTGGATTCTAAAAGTAAGTTTTTACATTTCTTTTATTCTAGGATTAGATTCTGTTCTATGAAAGAACTTGTAGAACGAATATTAGAGAGTAAGAATTTTTAAGAATTTTAAAGAATAGGAATTCCCTGGCAGTCCAGCGGTTAGGACTCAGTGCTTTCACTGCCAGGGCCCAGGTTTGATCCCTGCTGGGTGAACTAAGATCTCACAAGAGGCACGGCCCGGCCAAAAAGAAAAAAAAAAATTATGAAGACTAAGATAAATGCCAGAAAAGGATATTGGAAATTGTAATTTGAATTTTCACCATGGTAATATGGCTCTAGGGAAAATAGCATTATCAGATGGATATAGAAAGGATTGATGGTATCTAAACAGTCATGATGAATAGCTTGATATTAAACCGGAGGGAGAATTTTAATGCAGGAACAATGAGTTTGCCTCTCAACACTGGCAATGGCCTACATTTTATAGCAATGACCTATATGGAGAGAGATGTGCCATGTTTGAATTTGCAAATTACACAAAATTGAGAGGGATGGTAAAATATTGCATGGTAAAGAAAACTAGAGGCAAATTAATGTCAATATGTTGCTGTGATAAATATAAAAAAGATATAAACCATTCTGCAGTTTATTTGAAGAAAGCACAAAACTTTACAAGTATAAAATGAGGGATATGAGGCTTAGACCAGTGAGCTTTCAGATGACCTGAAGCTCAATATGAATTGTTATTGCCATGTGCCTGTTGGTAAATCTACTTTGAGCCTGGACTTTATTAAAAAGAGGCACATTATCTCAAAAAAGGAAGTACCATGGCTAGTTCCGTACACCATTCTTTCAAAGAGACACAGGAAAACAAGCAAAGGGTAGATTTGGAGAAAGTGACCAGTCCAGAGTCAGAGACCATTGCAGGCCTTTAAGGAGCCAGGCTTCTTTCAAACTGCCTTCTATATTTAAAAGCCTGTGTGGTGAAAAGTCAGCACACTTACTCAGTAGGATCTCTAGTCCTGTGGAAATAGTGTTAATGAATAGAAATTGCAAAGTAACTCATTTTTACTTAATTTAAGGCAGTATATCTTAAATCACAATTGCCTAAATGAGCTGCTTCAGGAGGTAGTAGGTTTCCTTTCACTGGAGGTCTTCAAATAGAAGTTTGATGACCAGTTGGGGGAATGTATTTAACCTTGTTCATTGCATTGTCACCTGTTCCCAAAACAATGTGTGCCACACATTAGCCACCAACAAATACTTATTGAATGAATGATTGAATAGAAGGAAGTTACTTATAACTAACATTTATGGAGCCCTCATGATTGGTCAGTGACAGCTAATTTTCCAAAACTTTATAGGAAGGGACAGTTATTTTTTTCATTTGGCAGATCAGAGAAGTGAAAGCTAGCAAAGGGAAAAACACTTGCTCAAGTCACCCAGAAGTGAGTGGAAGAGGCAGGATTTTGATTGTGCTGTATCAGTTTCCTGAGCTTGTTTCAAGTTTCAGAATGTGGTTGACCTAGACAATTTATAAGATTCCTTCATCAAACACTCCCTGATATATGCTGTTATTAATTAAACAAGGAGGCCAGGAGATGAGGTGGTTCTAATACCTTAGCAGCCTTTATAACAAAACCAAAACCTACGCCTGTAAACACCTCAAGGTTGAGAAATCAAAACCTAAGTACAACCAATCACAAACAGCCAATTAAACTTTTGCAAATAAGGCAAAAGCTTAAGCTATAGCCAATCAAATAATTTCCTTGTTTTGCTTCTTCCTTTTCTTCGTAAAAGTGTCTCTCCTATTTCCTATCAGTGGAGTGCTCTAACCACTTCCAGTTTGCTACTGCCTGATTGGAATTGATTTTTGCTCAAAAAAACTCTTAACATTTTTAATATACCTTAGTTTATCTCTTAACAATGCTGGTAGGAAGGACTTGAATTCACCAACTCTTACTACATTAGAACCAATTTATTGACAAAATTTGTTACCATTAAAATAGGTGGGTAGATATTTGGTCTCTGAGACAATTACATATATGTTATGGACATTATACTTAATTAGCAGGAAGAAGCACAGGAAAGCAGCCACACAGATTAATACAGTGTATAGGTTTGAGTAGCTGGAGGCCAGGATGCCTCTGGAGCTCTGTTGTATCTTGGATGCCTAGAAGAAGTGTATGGTGATAGTGGAAGGTGGAGCTAATAACAGATTGCACTACTCTGCAATCTTGCTGGGTTTAAACTGGTAGTTACATTTTGAGGATTAATGCAGAGTGTGAGCTCTTTGAGGCCAGGTTTAACACCTTACTAATATTTACATCCTTTGAGCCTTACACTGTGACTTTCAAAAGTATTGCATGAAGGATATGGTCAGGACAGGATAAATGTGTGGTGATTGCCATTGTCCTTAGGGCAGCTGGAATGGTACTGGCTTTAATTTGTAACTCTTACTAGTAACAAGCCCTTGCTTGTTATGGTAACCCTAAAATTTACTAGTAGCTTATCTTTAAGATTTACCTCAAATTTTATTCTGGAAAGTATTACATGACCTACTTGTTTAAGTACCTTGGTTTGTTTGCTGTTTTTAAAATTATTTATCATTCTGTGTATCCATTTTATAACACCACTATGACAGATTGTAATGACCTCTTTAATTATTTGCATGCTCCCACTTCCCTCGCTCCCACCTCCAAACTCCTTGATGGTGTGGTAAACATGCTACTCATCTAGGGTTACCCTCAATGTCTAGCAAAATGCTTAACAAATAATTAATGCTGCCAAAGCGAAAATTGCACCCGGATAGGCAAGGAAGACTTTATTTGAAGCTACTGCAGTAGAGGAGAGAGGCCAAAACTCAGTCTGATGTCAACCCTACTGAGCCAAAGGGTGGAAGAGTTTTTAAGAGCTGGGTGGAAAGATAAACTTTTTCCTGTCTTCATGACAGAGGGTAGTTTTACAGCTTGGCATAAGTTAGGCTTCTGCCTTCCCACAGAAACTGAGAAATAGGGTTCTATCTTGCTTGATGATTACATTTCAAAGGGATGGCTTGTAGGTCCTTGAGAAAGACATTCTTGGGTTGTAAAATTAGAAAGAGTCTTTTAAACAAATTACAACTCAAAGGGTTAGAGAAATAATTTATAATTGCAAGTTTTCTTAAGTAAATTCTCTAAGTAAAGGGAGTTCAAGGGCATAGAGTCAAGAAGAAGCTTGTCTAAAGTCTAGTTAAGCTGAGGGGAACATTAAGGCCATTTTAGTCAGTGCTCACTCAGTAAGTTGTTGAATGAATGAACAAATGAATAAAGTTCATTGCTTAGGATCCTAATATTAAATGTGTCATCTTATTGAAAAAGTAATATTAAAAGTAATTAGAGCAAATTAAAATAATATTTAAAAGCCTTCTTTTATCTCTTGTTGTTCATTTGATACTTCATTGTGTAAGTTCCATACCCCACAAAATATATTACATGTTGAATATGCATAAGGTTTTAAAAAATTTTTTAAACTTCCCCATTTTTCAACTAGAGGCATCTTTATAAATCATTTGTTGCAGTGGGGCACATAATGATATATTAAATAACTTAAAAAAAATTTTTTTTTCAGAAACTGTTATATTTTCAACATTTTTCTTCATTCTCAAATCAAAAACATTACATCAGACTCTGAAACATTATGTACAAACTTTCTCTGTGGTAGCTACAGCTATAAAATAGAAATAATAATGCTTTCTCTTCCTACGTTGATGGGTTGTTTATAAGGAGCAAATGAGAATGCGAAAGCACTTTAGAACTGTAAAAATAATTGTAGAAATGCAAGGATAAAATGAATAATGAACATATAAAGTCGATTATGGAGATATTTTTATTTTCTTTAATAATAATTTCTAAAGACATGATATGAAGACTCAGGCTATCTCCTAGGACATGGAAAATAATATTTGGTAACCATTACCTTAAAATTATTGGTAAGTCTGAGTTAGTGATATGTTTATTGAATTTTTCACAATCAATACAGTTAAAGATGTTTCAAATATACTGATTAGTGGTCTCTCAAAACACTATAATTTCTAGAAGCATAATTATCAGGGAGATAGTGTCAAATGCTTGTTAAAATTACAGACTTTATTACTTGGATCCTGGTAGTCTATTTTCAAATCCCAGGTCTGCTACATTTCAGGTCTATAATCTTGAAAAAGTTATATGAACTCTCTAAGCCTCTGGTTTGTCATTTGTGAAATAGGAAAAATATCTACCTCCTTTGGTTGCTGTGAGGATCAAATGGGACGGAATATGTAAGGCACTGACTGAGCACAGTGACTGACTCATAGGGAGGTCTCAAAACTTGTGTAAAATACACACACACACACACACACACACACTCTTATACATAATTAGACCTAAAACACATATATATAATCCTAACCTGTACAGATTAACTTTCGGTTATATGTCTTTGGAACTTCCAGTGGTCTTGAAACAGTTCATTTTTAAAAATTTAAATACCAGTGTTTATAAATCTTTATCACACAATCGTTTGACGTATGTTTTCTGTTTCTGCAGAAATTTTGATGGTGCAGAAATTTTAGCAAGCCTCATATAATATATCATTAATTTTAAATTACTCTTGAAATAAAGATATTTACCAGACCATATTTGGAAAATGTATCAGAGGTACTGTAGTACAGAAGCAATAATACTGGTTGGAGTTTTCGAGATACAGGCTTTTCATTTACCATCTGCCTTTGAGGAAGTAACTCATTTTCTAGAATCCCAGTTTACTGATCTGTAAACTCTTAGATAATTAAAACCACCTGAAAGGATTATTGTAAAGATCAAAGAGTTAATACATTTAAAAACACTTTATAAAATTTAAGAACTTGTTTAAGCCATCCCTCAGAAAAATGATGAACCCTCCTCAAAATTTGGTTTGGATGTCAAGACTGATGTTACTACGTACACACCAAGAGGGTATAAAAAGGTTTATGACTCACTTAAATGAGGTTT